TCAATCCCAATGGTAATAGTAGTGTATTTAATAAGAGAAATATTTCTATCATTAGATTAAAACGCAATTTGTGCAAATCGCATGATAGAATTAAAAATATATCTTAGCTACCAGAAATTAATATGTTGATCAATTTAATAAAAAGTTGATTGCAAAATTTTATAGTAAAAACAAAATATTTTTCTATTTTTGACTCAGCAGAAAATGATATCAATAGTACCAAGAAGAATACTTAAATACTTTAATACCAAATGACCTTCTACCATACATGTCTGTTGTCAAGTTTATTATTTCTTACGTATGTTAGTGTCACCATTTATATAATAGACTAAGTTAAAATTGATCTTCCATTGTATATAAGTTGATTTTGAAGAAAAATATGCTCGTCATGCTATTGAAAAACTTAAATACGCCGAATAACTTATGTAATTGTATACTATATAGTATACAGAAGTTTTGACAATAACGTCATACATGCAAAAATTATGATACTGGTCAATGTGATTCTAAGTATATTCTTATCCCTGAATTCAACTTTCGTCTTCTAAAACTAAGGAATATACTTTTAATTTTGTGTGAAAATAATTTTTAGTATGTTAATGGTTTGCGAATACTATTAAAAAAAGCACAATAAATTCATGTATTATGCTAATGTAATAATTATCTTCGGCATTTAGATAATTTCTATATTAGTATACATAAAAAAATTTGTATTAATTAAATTTTATTATTCTTCATATAAATAAATATTTAAATCATCACGTATCATTATTAACGTGCAATGCACGTTCATAGAATAGTAAATAAAAAACAGGATTGTATAGGGAGGAGGTCGGCAATCACCGACAATACATTTATGAGTATTTCAGTATCTCCGCATGATACTTACTGCTACTTATAACAGATCTAGAAATAAGAGTTTACGAATTTTTATAAAGGCTTCAAATTAACATTATAATAATAATAATTAAATTCATAGTTAAATATTAATAAAATATTATAGTAAATTAGTTAGGGTAAAAAATTTCATGCATTCATTTATCAATCCAATAAATATATAATGCATATCTTCACGTATCCTTTTATTATTAATTTATAGGTAATTAACATATAATTTCACATATTTAGCTATGTATAAAATATAATTTAATATAAACACTGTTTATGTAACTTCGTGCTGAATAGTATCATTTTCCTTTTCTTTGTTTAGACTTGGGGAATAAATCTTTTTCCTATAATGGCGATAAGACAGCTACCAAAATTTAAAGAATCTACATAGAATTCAAGAATTTTTCTGAAAAAAGATCAAAAGAGACTTTCCCTTTTGATGATAGCTGTTATGAGTATGACAAATAGACAAAGCAAAGTATAATATAAAGTAAGAAACCAAATAACACATATTGTCGGTACTCGGATTTCCATTTTTGTGTTTTTTTAATCCTTCCCTTTAAATATAATTATTATATTATTGACTTAATTAATCTATCTAAAGATTAGAATAAAAATTTAATTAATTAAAGAAAATGATATCGTGGGTGCACGTCTTTCTTCATTGTCGTATAACCGTATATAACTAATCCCTAATGGTATTCTACGGTGGGATAAATAAAATATCTCCATCCTTAATTAGAGATTTTAAGTATGAACTCTTTTCTTTTTTAGGTAGCCTTACACAATGTGAAACTAAATTACTCAATATTCTAATATAGGTTTCGGACATCGGGTGAGATACTAAAAGAATATCTAATATATATTTTTTTGATGTTGGACTAATTAGTAAACAAGCATTAAAATTCATATAATGTCAAATGACACCGCTTGGTCTAAGGTGTTTCATTTCTGCACCTAGTCATTTTCTCCCCATGGGCAAAAAATATGTCAATGGACTAGAGCTGTCAATATGGGCGGGGTCGGGCTAGCCCAGCCCAGCCCACATGGGCTTTAGCAATTGACGGGTTGGGCTGAGCTAGCCCACCATTTTGACGGGCCTTATAATGGTCAGCCCACCCCAGTCCTATGTGGGCTGCGGGCCCCCACGGGCCGGCCCAATATTTTTTTAAGTATAATTTTATATTTTTTCTTTAAGTTCTAACCTAAAAAGATAAATATTTAAAAGTTAAAAAAATCTAATTGGAAAGATTTCACAAAACTTAATAACTTTTTATACTGTTTCAATATATGATAAACACGAAAAAAATAAAAGACAAGACTAATATTTCATTCACTAAAAATCAAAAGTCAAAACAAACTATTCAAGAGAACGTCCATGATGCTTACGGGATATGCAACACATCATCTTCATCAAACACATTTGAATCCGCTTGTGAGAAGGTTGTCTTAATATCTTCGCTTTCATCTACATCTACAATTTGTATGCAATATTAATTAGTTAAATATTAAGAATAATTAAAATTTTAAAGCTAATTAATGTTTTAAGACTTTGATCTTTTAATGTGATGAGCTTAATAAACATTAAGCTTGAATACTCTTCTTGATATTTTTTGTGTCATATACTTTTCATATTTTATATATGTCAAATACATATTTTTATTAGGCACACGGGCCGGCCCAACCCAGCCTCAGTCAAGCCTCACGGGTCACGGGCTTATTCGGGCCGAGCTTAAAAGCCTCGTTTTTAAATGGGCTCAAAGAATTCTAGCCCAGCCCTGCTAAATCACGGGCAGGGCTGGGCTGGCCCACCGGGCCAAGCCCATATTGACGGCTCTACAATGGACAAGTCAATTTTTAATATATAAGACAATCGAACACTAGAAAATAATTTTTTAAAAATATATTTCGCTGGAATTACATTAATTAAAAATACATATTGTCGGAAATAAAAGGAAAAATATTTTACCGTACACACATATTATATTGTCATTTTAAACATAATTAAATCCGTGACATGTGGATAACAATTATATTTATCACGAGCTAGATTCAGATTGGATTCCCTTTTAAGGATATAAAAAACAAAAATAATGACAACTCTGAAAAGAAGTAAAGAAATGTACAGATTTGACTGTAATGCCTTTTTCTACGGTTAAGTGGTTTACTATTTACAGAATAATTAATTAGAAATAATCTTCCGTTAATTATCCATTTAACATTTATTTAACTTTTTTTTTTATATATAAAGAAAATTTCTTGGCACCGACTTAGGTAAGTAGGAAAGTTCGAATAAAGTAAAGAAAGTAGGGCCCACATTATTGACCAAACTACTACATACTATATGAAATGCCCCAACTAAAAAGTCAAAAATCATGTGCATATGTTTTTCGAATAAAATAAAAAATAATGAATCTTGATAACTCCAAATAAACTATTAAAAAATTGGAAAAAATTTATTATCACCAATCGCGTCAACTACATTAATTTACCTTCATATATATATATATATATATATATATATATATATATATATATATATATATATATATTGTGCTTGGGAGCAAATCTAGTGCTTCGACGTCGATACTATGTTCACCCGAACTTAATATTTCTTATGCGGGGTATAGATTCTTACTTAAGAAATCGTAAAAATTTAAAATATATTAAATTTGAACCTATAATTTTAAATATCCCTTATACTCAATAATGTACAACTTTATATCCGAAAACGTATCACATTAAACCCCCTTAATGTGGTGGGACTCAGATATTTTTTCCATAATAAACACAAGGATCCAAAAAAAAAA